CCAAGCGCCGTGCCACCAAAACACCCCACCGAGCACCGCGCCGCCATGCCAAAACACCCCCCCAGCGCTGCACCACTGAAACACCCCCCCCCGACGTGCCGCACTGCTGAAACACCCCCCCGAGTGCCGCGCCACGCCACCAAAACAAAAACACTCTCCCCCTCTCCCAAGCGCCGCCCTGCCAAACCAAAAAAACCCCCCAAAACCCCACCACCCCAAGATTGGCTGCCCCTTACAAGGTGCCGCCCCAAGCACGTGCTTGGTCGGCTGTTGCCTGGAGCCTTTCCTTCACTATGTCATTCCCTGCACAGACAAGTTGCCCTAGGGCACCTGCTTGCTTTCTCTTCAGAGACGGATAACAGTGTAATTGCTACAGATATAAGTTACCACACATCTCTTTCTAAGCAAGCCTACAAGCATTACAGAGAAAACATATTAATAACAATAAAAGAACTTGAACACATCCTAATAAGCTTACCAGAGTTCATCCCAATACTTACATGGGCTCTGGCAAATACACTCTTTTAATACCCCACCTTAGGGGCATTGTCATGGTTGCAAGTTTATCAGAGCTTCAGCACAGAACAAGCACACTGTCTTATGAGGCCCCAGCAGGTCAACTTCTTCCAATCCTCCCCTAAGGATTGGGGCCCTCTGTGGTCCAGGAGTCCTGTCTATTTGCTGGAACAGGAAGAAGCCCCTGGGGCAGATTAACCCCCGTCTTTTATCCAGAAGTATTTTCTTTGTCTGATGCTCTCTGAAGAATCCAGTTTCAACTGTGCATTTCTCCCAGAGGGGGGTGACTTCAAAGGGCTGATAATGGAAGAAGTACATTAGCATCCCTCCTCCTTTCTAGAGAAGGTACATACAATGTCACAACAACACGTACACACACATGTTTTTAATGCAGTGTACCTCAAAAATATTAACGCTAATTCAGTAAGGTTTAACTTAACTCACTAAAGCTTATCTTAATTCCATAAGGTTTGCTCACAGGATAGTGTCTGTCTGCCACCAGGGTGATTTGGATATAGCTACATATAAACACACAGAGCTTAGATACAGTACTATGGTGGTTAGATTCAATTAAAAAATGATAGACATTTGTCAGTTCAATGTATCTGACTGACAAGTTTGAGGGTTCCCCAAATTATGAGCCTCTTACTGTAAGTAGTATAGAGACAGATGTGCTGGGCCATTTTTTTTTAAATAGCCTCTAATTTTGCGCCCACTGGAATGTCAGTTACTTGCAAGTGCAGATGGTGCCTGATCCAAAGCTCATTAAAACTATCTAAAAACTTCCTTTAATTTCAATGGAAAAAATCCCATTAACTTCAGTTGCTTTGGGATCAGGCTGTAGGTATCTAAATATTATTAGATAATTGCCCCCTCAGTTGACTGCAGAGACAAAATTTGGTCCCTTTATCTGTTATGGAGTTTACATACATGCACATGCACATAAATACATAGTTATGTAAGACAATAAAAAAACCCATTTTGAAGCACACTGCTTCAATAATCTGTGGGGAGGTATCTTTTGGGACAACCTGCTAGTATCAGCTAAAACCCAAATGTAAGACAGGGTGGAGTAAGGACTCATAGTAGAGGACACGTGAGAAGTAATATTGCAGGAAGTGGACACTTATGTGGATGTAACTGCTGTAGCTTACATTGCATTCCGAGTTTCACAAGTTGGCACTGATTTTGTAAATCACAGTGCTAACAGTAGGATAAGATTGCGTTGTGCATAGCGTAGGAAAAGGTGTAAAATATAGGGATTCCCTAGTGGTGGGGAAGAGTTGAGACAACTCTTGACAAATCCATTCACCCACTTGCATTTTACGATTTAATTCAAGGATGGTGAGTGCTCTGGTGGAGAAGTATTTACAAAGCACAGGAACTCGGGCTCAGCCCTTGTGAGGAGTGTAAGTACTGCGGTAGCTCTGCCTCAACTGAGAGGGACCTTGGAAACTCTGCAGGAGGCTGAGATGTAACAGAGCCTCTTTTCTGCAGACAGGAAGAAGCCTTGTCAGAGGAGGGGAGACAACCTTCCCATATTCCCTTCACTTTACATTCTACATATTGGTGGGGAGTGGGATCCTTCTGTCTAGTGGGCTGCTGGGTGATGGTTTATCAATAGTTGGCTGGGAAGTATGCTGCTAATGCAGATTATAATAATTGTATCAATACCCTAAGCATTGGGTGCAAATATTTCCAGTATGCCATTCAGAAAATGCGATCTCTGCAGCAACACAGAAAAACTATACTAGGGAAAGGAAACAACAGAAAGGTAGAGTTATCCCTGCCAGCACACTTTGGCTGAAGTGTATCAAGCAAAGCAGAACAGTCTTTTTTAGAAGGACTTAAAACCTACTTTGTGAAAACTTGGGGTGAATTCTTGTTCCATTGAAGTCAATACAAAATTCTCACTGACTTCACCAGGGTCAGGATTTCATCGTGCATTCCTAACTTGGACCTGTGAACACATAAGCTGATCCAGGGTTGAAGCTTGGGCTAGGGAATTGAAGCCCAGGATTTTATTACTTCAGCTGCAATGTTTCAGATTAGAAAACCAAAAGCATTTTCTACTACTAAAAGCTTTTACATTCTTCGTTACTTAGTTTATAACTTGTATTGCAATCTGTGTCAAACTAATTAGTATGAGGAATTGAAGATAAGTCAGGGTGGGCATTCTGAACAACTTTAGAGTATCTCTTTTTTCTTTTAAATTAATTTTCCAACCCCAGGGGTCTGGTTGCAGGGTTGAGCAACCAGGGTATATGGTATAAGAATTCCATTTATTCCAGTCATTCAGGAGCCTACTTCTTTCTCTTTATTAATTTGTATGGGGTGCGGTGATTGTTTGTAGATCATGAAGAATGAAGAGAAGGGAGGATAGCATGGAGATGAGAAGGCAAGTTTGCAATCTCTGTTCTCCTCCTTATGCTCTCTCCATCCTTTTAATTTACTGTCTCCACTGTACCCTAGCATTTTACAATGTAGAATTATTCCCGCTCCTCTCATTTTATTTCTTAAAGCATTGATACCATATTCACACAGCAAATCTGAATGTTCAAAGTGGAGGCAAGGATAGCAAGGCAGGAGACTTTTAAATCCATGAAATGACAAAGCAGTTGGTTTCTGCAAATGAGTGTGGTTGGATCTGAATCTGTCTCCATACTGGGACCCACAGTATGGAAGCTCACTATGAAAACCTGAACATGCCAATCTATCAGCAGTTTATGCTGTTGCTTTTAACTTTGGGTCATTCCAATATAATTCATAAAACCCTGAGCTGGGTCAGCCTAATTCTTCACAGAACAGAAGCTTACTTTCACCCTAATAAGTCAGAGAACTCAAGCTTCATGTGCCATCCTGCATAAAAATTATTCCTAGACTGCAGAATTTTGTACTGATGCTAAACCTTTGCAATGGGAGGAAGGAAGGAATGTAAATGGGAAAGAAAACATTTAACTGAAGCAGAACTTTAACATAATTTCTTCTTGCTGAATGTATATATAAAACAAGAGAATATACCTCAATAATCATCCAGGTTTTTTGCCTTCAGCCTGTCTGAGGCCATGTGGTTTGGAGATCTGATCACTAGTCCGAAAAGAAAAGGCTGTTTTCAAGATTTCTGGGGTGTTTTTTCCTGGAAAAGGTGAGAGGATAAAAGCAGAAATCTGTGAAATACATTTATGCCTTATAGGGCAAATATATACAGAGAGAGAGAGAGAGAGAAATGTTTCAAGCTGTTGCTAAACTGATTTGGAGGCAGGTATTTCTTTCATTTACCTCTCCAAGGGGTAGGTTAAAAAAATAAATCTAAATTTCATACACGCCTTGAACCAAGGAAATTGGATTTTCTTATTTATTTTGCTCTTTCGCATACACTTTTAGTATTTTCTGGAGTTATGTTTGGTATTTCTATCAACAATGAGAATTTTAACTATTGAGAAATGTCCGGAAACGAAGAAGATAGTGTTTGAACATTCAAACAGCATTTTGTAGTAATCATATTTCCTTAATACACCTCAAAACATTTTTCTCTGAACAATGCCTGTGTAATTTACAAACAATTTATAAACTGATACTTTTGGTGAGTTTGTCCAACAGGCTTCTTGTCATATAAATACTTCATTTCTTTATCTTTTGTGTTTATGCTATCTTTCATTGTTCTCATTTTATCTTTAGTGTGCAGTATTTTGTTCTGTTGTTTCTCTTTCAAGCTACTATCTTTTTTTCTTTCCTTTCATTTTACAATGGTTTCTATTCCATTTTTCTTTCTTGAGGTTCATGAGGCAATGATCTTTGCAATTTCTTTTTTTGTTGTTTTTAAATCTCTATAATTAAAACAAGTTTCTAACTACATTGATCATAAATATACTTTTGTTTTAATTTGTACTTGTAATGGCATCACTAGAGGGCAGTATTGAATAAATTAGTGTGCTGAACAATGCTATGAGAAATTAGAAGCAGAAAAGCCCTTAGTAGAAACATACTTGCATTTTTTTTATTAAATATAAATATTTTTGGATTTCAGTTTTTAACAAATCCCATTCATACAGGATAGAATGAATCATAAACTTCATAATAAAGCATTTATTGGATCATTTTATATGTAACTTAATACAAAAGGAAGAGCAGTCTGTAAAATTATTAGAAAAATGGATGGGCAGGGGGCTTAGTAGACAGTAACAGTTAAGCTGTTGTAAACTATTAATTCATAACATTGTCATAGAACTTTAATCTTTAACTAGACATCATGGTTAAAATTTCATACAGTATATAAAGTATATAAATTATCTTAGTATTGTTTTCCAGAGAAAATGTTTGCAGTAATAAATAAATATTTTCCAATTCATTAACTTGTTCCTTGGAATATACATTATATATATTCCTTGGAATAAACAGTACAGTATATTTTGAAATAATGGGCAGCAAATATAACCAAAAGTGTGGAGTAAGATGTTGACTCATTTGTTCTTATTGATTTACAGGTCTCCTGACAAATGCAGCAGCAAAGAATTCTCGTATGAGTGGTCTAGGTTCTGTGTGAGCTACTTACCTTAGTCAAGTTTCACTGCTGTGGATCATCATCCATTATATGTCATCAATTCAACTGTCTGTTTCTCTATATCTCATAAAAGACAGCATAATTCCTCTACATTATGAGCTAAAAGTCTGTTCTACCATTCTAAGAAGCACTGGACTAAGGAATATAGATATAAGAGATACGCTTGGGCATTAGCAATACAAAAAGTTCATGGTTAACGTTTCATCTGCGTTATACACCACTGTTGGACTCGATGTTACCGACATGTTTTGATCTGAAGAGTCTACTGCACTGAAGAGTATTCATCCCAATCAGCCTTAGAGAAGACTGTTTTGTCTATGGGAGGACACTGAGGTGCAAAAGAGAATCTCTTCTTGTGCCGTGGACTGTCTGAATTGCTTTTATTTTCTTATACTTTCAGTATATACAATAGACCAAAGAGCAAAATCTATTTTAAAGTGGACACAATCTTACTGTTAACAGAGCTATCTGGGTTAAATTGTAGGGTGGTCTCCACAAAGACATGATTTCAACTCTCACAAAGCTGAGATGTTCCTGTACAGCAGAAGTCTTTATGGAACACTGCAGTAAAAACTAAACTAGAAAATTACTCTTGAAAAACCACATTATAAACAACGAAATGGAGCATGGAGAGAAAACGGCGTATGTTTGAAAAACTTTGATGAAACAACTACAAACTGTCTACATGGCACCTTTATTCCTCTGTACTTAGATTGACTTTCTCATACTAAAATCATTTTCAGTTTTAACCAGTTAAACATGCCTCTTCTACAGTTCCATTTTTGATAGTTAAAATTGGATAATACAGTATTTGCAAAGAGCATGTTTGGTCATCTGTGGCCTATGTCTCATCTGATACACCATTTAGCACCAGAAAGCAAATTAAAGAAAAAAAAAGTAACACTTGTTTGAAAGAGATCATTAAATGTATTTTGAAAAGCCTAAAGTTATATATTTAACAGTTTTTATATGTTGTATATTTGTAGAAAATCCTATTTAACAATTAACGTGGTAACTCTGACGGTCATGACAAATGGTTCAGAGTTAAGTTGTGTTTTATTACTTCAGTTGTCTCTGAAGTGACAGGTGTCATTTGCTTTCTTCCATTAGGACATTCTGGATGTAAAGCATGACCAGAGAGGACTCTGTAGAAAAAGCAAAGAATAATGTTGTTTCTATTACATAAATGCATTCAACCATTGCACTGTTGGAAGGCATTTTTTTTTGTCTTTATGTACTGGTAAAAATAGAGTGTAAAATATTTTAATCATGGCTTTCCATACCGAGTTATTTCTCTCTCTCTCTCTCCTTCTCCCCACCCTCCTCTACATAATACAGTATAAAGGTCAATTTGTGGCTTATTCCTTGACCCAGATTCAATGTTTTACCTCATCGTTAGAAAGCCCACTTTTTTGGCATTATCAGGTAGTGAAAAGTTAATGCAAAGACAGCATAGAAAAGAGGGGAAATGAAGATAAAAAGATCCCTCACTCCCTATTACAGTACCTTTCTATATATGTCTGGTACATATTGATATGATGAAATCAACAAATGAGCTTAACTTCTTCCTGGCAAATGTATTCCAGTTTTAACTATTTCTCCAAGTTTCCACTGTAGTATACTACCTAATACTCCAATTAACTTTTAGTACTATGCTAGTTCTATGCTACTAAAGAAAAATATATAGAGACTGTTCAAGCAACCATAGATAAAAAATACAAAAACAAAAAGTTTTTTTTTTTGTAAAGCCTGTTCCACTATTCAGGCTTATTTAATACACAGGTTGCAGAAAACATGAATTATAGGTGACTGTGTCTTTTGAGTAAAATAAATATATAAGAATTTCTTATTTAATCTTAAGGTTTTTGACCAGTATCAAAGTAGCAATTCAAGGCCAACCACTTGGAAAGTGTTATGGACTGACTGCACTATAAATGACCAATGTCTGGTTTAAAATGTCATGCAATAAACGATGGTAAATACATTTACTGTACTACTAGAACTCAAGAACCAGATCCCTCACTCCACCAAGTTTCTGTTTTGTTTCAGTTTATTTTTAAAGGGAGTGTAGTAGCCTTATTTAGTAAACACAGAAAAACTAAAGATGTTACATTTTTGTTGCTTTACAGTATTCAGTTTTGTGTTGGTTCAGCTAAATTATGGAAATAAAGAAAATCCTTTTATAAGTGAGACTTTTGTTCCCTGATCGTGATGTCACACAGAGAATTGCAGTAGAGGGCGCTTGCGGGTAGGGGAACAGAGAAGTAGATTCTCACAATGAAACAGGTGAAAATGAAATAATACCCTACATTTGCAAAATTGTTAACAATTTTGGGCACTGACATTTTTGGGTGCCCAGTCTGAGACAAGCGCTGAGTACCCATTCTTTGGAAATTAGGCCCCTTTAACATATCTCAGATTGGACACTCAAAATCACTAGTCACTTTTGAAAATTTCATCTAATATCTCTATGTTTTCATTACTTTGAATGCTCAGCAAAAGAGAAAGATGTCCTTGTTTTTAAGGTCTGCTCAGGAGAAGTAACAAAGCAAGGAAAGTTTAGATTATTGGTCAGAGACAAGTGTACATTCTAGCTAGAAATGGGGATGAACCTAGTTTGTGTGACAGCAGTCCCAAGTCACTTCAAAAGAGAACTTTTCAGAATGTACATTTTCAAATGAATGAAATATACTGACTGTTTTTGTAAATGTAAATTAGTGTCCTCAATGCTATGCTGAAACCTTTATCTTTCAGTGACATTAGACTTTTTTCAATATTGTGGGCTTCAAACCTTACGGAACTTGATTTCACAAAGAATTTTAGTTTGTTTATGTGGGTATTTTATGTGCCTCTTCCACAAAGACATTCAAAGCATAAGAGAGGCATGTCTGATTTGAATGCTGTTAAATATCCTCCTTTTCTCAGTTTTCAAATGGGTAACTTTCCAAAACACACGGAAAGGACGATAAAATATAAAAAGGGTAGAGTTAGAGAAAAAGGTCACCCCACAGTCTAACAAAAACAGAAATACAGAAAAATACAGAAGACCTTTCATATAATTTTCAAAAAAGCTGTTGGTATAGCTTTCTGTCACCCTGTGCAGGGACAGATCTAACTAATGCTTCAAACAACTGAGATTTCACAAGACCATTATTGAAGTAAATATTAACACACTGTAGCAATCCACACAGCAATTTCTCTGATTTCATAATTATGTTTCTAACTTGCTCTTTTATTGTGAACAAGCCTTTTTCTTTTTATTACTGTACAGGTTTTATGCACACAATGTTCTTTGGTCAGCTGCTTGTTTACTGAAAGTGTACCCACATGTTTTTGTGTAAATCTTTAACCTCGCATTTTCTGTGTAATATGGCCTAGTAATCATCATCTTGAGTACTAATTAGAGTTCCATAAGAAAATAAAGAATGCCGTACCATGGCTGAAGAATTGTACAAGCAGCATTAGCTATGTCTGAACCAAAAGGGAATAAAAGAGTTGGCTTAAAGGATAAACACAGCTCTGATAGTTTAAACTAATGAACAGGTGGACAGAACAAGCACAAGGCAAAATTGGATACCGATAGATAGGAAGGGAAGACAGAAGCATTTGCAACTAAAATTCAAGGAGAAAAATAGAAAAACACTTGAGGTCAAGAACATAATTCCTCCCTCCACATATCAGAAATAATATCAGAAAGAGAGTATTTGGGGCTAGCTGAAAGGGTAGATGTCTGTATGTCACAATTGCAAGGAAAGTTCCATTAAAAAGTGGGCAGAGATAGACTTGAAAGTATGAGCATAAATATTCCCACCCACCATTTAAGGGATGAACTGAAATTTGGCAGGGAAATAGAAGTCATTGGCCTTTGTGATTAAGCACTGTTTCGAGGGAAAGGTTGAATCAGTAAGATGTACAATAACTTTCTCCATTTGAAAAGTTTGGAATGGCCCTTTGGAAAATTAGGTAGACTTGCCTGGAAATTGCAAGAAATAGCCCCAATTCCTGCTTTGCAATGCAGTCCAAAACATAACAGGTGCAGCCAGGGGAGGATTCCTGCATGCAGGGGAATCCTCAGGAGGTGCAGCGTTCCTGTAGCATCACCCTGGCTCCTAAACACTGATATTGGGAGCATGGGAAATAGCTCGTACCTGCTAGCACTTAAAGGGCCTTTGGCAACCAATGAAAATTAGAGCAGTCTTCAGGCTGCTCTGATTTATGCAGTGGACCAGTTTGGCATCTAGGTGGCCTCAGGATTGAGTCAGTGCAAAGGTGATTTGCAGACTGATGCTGAAACGTACTTGACTATACCAAGGAATAGTAGTAAATAATGGCAGTAAGCTGATAGTAGGAATTTGGGAAAAGATTGCTTATAGGAAAGAATAATTACAGATGAAGATGACAGCAAAAATCATAGAGGTTAATGAAAAGGGATGAGTTAGTAGTACGTGCATATGATGCTGGATACAACTCGGGCACTAATTTTGTTGGCATGTTACATGAATGCGTCTTTACACAAGGCCTCATTTTTAGAGGACTGACACCAGTGGAACACAGGCATTGCCATATCAGATCAGATGAGTGGTCCATCTAGTCTTCTATCCTGCAGATAAAAGGTGACCAAGTATGGAATAACCCATCCAAAGTTGTTCTGAACTTCAATCAGTTAGAGCTTGACTTATGCACTGAAGCATGTGGGGGTGTTATTCCTTATACATTTTTATTCTGCCTGATGTAACTGTTGGTGTTATGATTATCCATACAATCATATTATCCATTTTTGTGTTGCTTTTGTTTTTCATTCTGCTAAGGTCTCAGCCTCAATGATAAATTGGGGAATGAATTCCACAGGTTAAATTTGCTTTGTGTAAAAATGGAGGCATGCCTCCTAAAGATTCATGACACAATCCAGGCCAAGTCATGGACACAAAAAGGGGCACAATTCTGACTGTTTAGGGGGAAACATTACAGGATTGGAGATGAGAATATGAGTGTAAATCTAAACCGAAGAGACTTTAGGGATTGTCTTCACTGCATTGTTAGCTTGAGCCACAATTCAAGTGTTAGACCTAACTAGATTTCTATGCACACACAGAGGACTCTGGATCGAGTTAAGTGGTCCTAGCTTTAAGCTTGAACTGACTGGCCTGACAGACGGGGCAGGTTGAAGCACTAATGCTCCAAATGCTCAAACTAGTAATGCAGGGAGGATGCAGCAGCCTGAGTTACAACTGTTAATCCAATCTCTCTGTGTTGCTTCACTGTTGTTTTGCAATGTTGTCACTAAAGCGAGGCTAGCTCAAAAGCAGTAACTCGGGTGTACTAACTCAAGCTTCACTGAGCAGTGAAGACAAGCCCTAAGGCCAATTAGATTTCCCATTGGAATTATTAAAAGAAGAACAAAAGAGTCAGGAAAACTATATTCTCCATTTCAGCTAGCTAATTTTTGATATCTAAGTGCTAGGGGAGCCAAAAAGAGTAAAAACACAAAAGGGAAATAGAAAGTGAAAAGGATGCTATTTCATCTGCCTTCTGTACTGCTGCTAATAAGGTATATTCATCTCTTGATTCATGTGTATAAGCTCCATGAAACTTGACAGCCATGAGGTGAGCGATAAAGTCCCATCATGGACTAAAACCTAGTTAACGATAGAAAATAAGTAGAAATAAATGGCCAATATTCACCAAAGACAGAGATTAATGAGGGGCTGCTTCAGGGGTGGATCAACATAAGGGCCCTTGCTGTTCAATATATGTATTAACATCCTGGATGAGAGGGTGACCACGGAGATTGTGTGGTTTGCTGGCACTACTAAATTATATAGGTTAGTTAAAACTAGGGATGAGTGTGAGGAACTGCAGAGGGGAAACTGCAACACAATGGCAAGTGAAATTGACTACAAACAAGTGCAAGGTGGTGGACCACAAGGAACAATTCAAACTACCTGTTTATTCAACTGACTTCTCAGTTACTTGTAACCTCAAGGCATCAGTATGGACTGCTCAGTGAATGTGCTTGCCCACTTTGTGGGTCAACCAGGTAAATAAGAGGTTAAGCTGTTTTAAGAAGAGAATAGTGACTAATATGATAGATATTAGGACTACAGTATATTAATCAAAGCCTTCACCTTAATGTACGTTCAGCTCTGGGCATCTCATGTACCAACATACATAGCACAAGTATAAAAAATGTTTGATCTTTTCCAG